AGGTCCCGAGGCCCTGCCCCAGTCCAGTCCCAGGCTCAGGTCCCGAGGCCCTGCCGCAGTCCAGTCCCAGGCTCAGGTCCCGAGGCCCTGTCCCCGCTTCCCACGCTCTGGTCAGGTGGAAGCAGCCTCTGCACCATCACAGCCCCACGTTCATGGCCCGTGCTTTGCGTTGGGACGCCACCACTTTTCACCTCGCGTTATCCCCGAGCGTGGGGCCTCCCTCCTTCCTCTGGGCGTCTCCCCCCAGGTGCACAGGGCAGGGGGCCTCCTCGGTGCTCGTCTGAGCTGCGCGGGAGCAGGAGGCCATGGCTCTCCCACCCAGTGCCTCGGTGACTGATGTCGAGACCCTGCTTTCTGCGCTTTGTCCTTCTGCCAACTTCTTTGAGTCTGTGTGGGGCTCCCTCCTCCCTCCACCCACCCCACGTGCCCAGGCCACCATGCCAGCCTCCCTTTTCAGAAGGAACAGTCTTCAGGGCTCATAACTCCAGTCTCATGACCAACCCTGTAATTAAAACACGTGCCGAGCTCTGTGATTAAGGAAAAAAATAACCTCGAGCCAGCCGCCTCCCAGGTTTCCAGGGGCGGGACGTAGGTGACAGCAGAGAAGGAGAACACAATGGTCTGCTTCCAGCAGGCTCTCGACGGCAGCCAGCACCAGGGAAAGCGGGGCCAGTGTCGGGGCTCAGGCGGAGGGTGGGATGGGGGTGCGCCTGGCACCCTTATGCCCCCACCCCACCCCGGTCGGGCTGGGCAGCGTGGCCCCTGCGCACCCAGCTTCACAGCCTGCCTCTGACGGGCGCTCGGCGAGTGCGCATCATGCGGTTTCTGTTCTTTAACTCTCTTCTCCGCCCAGAGATAGAAGCCATCAAGCTGGCTGAGCGGAAGCGCTTGGAGGCACAGCGGCGGAGGGCCACGGAGGTGGTGGGGGACCTGCGCCCGCTGATGGAGGCCCTGCCCGAGCTGGCGGAGCTGGAGAACGGTGGCAAGTCACGGCAGCTGAGAAGGCAAGTATGGCGGCCTGCTGCTTCCTTTCACATCCGGAGGCAAGTGCAGCTGCACGTCCGGGACCGGCTGCTCCTCCACAGGCCTGAGCTGCACCGACCGATCTGTGTCCAGGGGAGAAAGGTGGTGGAGGAGGAGGAAGCGGCCAAGGTCCTGGCAGTGCCAGTCCCGTGGAGGCCGGTTCTTGTCAGACAACTGTGCTTCTTTGACTGAGCCCCACCCTCCAACTCTCAGGAGCCAGGAGGCAGGCAGGGAAGGCAGGACGTGTCAGGAGTGCCCAACCCACTGCTGGTAAACGGGAGAGTGGTCAGATTGGCGGGGTGACCAGGGCCGGCCTTGCTTTCTCTCAGCCCTCTTCTGGTCGGGCACGGCCACCCTGGCCCGGCCTTCTCCAGCTCTCCCTGGATCACTGCTGCACAGCTCCTGATGGGTCCTGCCGCTCCTGTCTCCTCTCCCACCCTGTGGCGGGCCCACTGGCTGCTGCGTCCTGGTCATGGCCACACGTGCGCTTCCTGGACCCAGTGTGCTCCTCCCCAGGTGCGCCCACCGGCTCCGCTCTCTCCTCTCTCAGGCTGAAATTCACATGCATTTCCTCACTGAGACGTCCTGTCTGCCTCCCCTGGTCCTGCACCCACCTCCCTTCCTGGGGCTCTTCCTCACCATACACTGCCTCTCTGTTCTGGCCCTTTCTCCTGTCCCCATGTGGGAGGCCTTGTCTGCTCTGTGCCCCCTGCGCCCCCACCCAGCAGGTCTGTGTGGCTTAGGGGCTCTGTAAGGAGGTGGACAGCTTGTCCACATCCACAGGGCCCTGGGGGCCAGTCTCCTGAGCTTGTGCCGATCAAGGACAGAGGGGCTGATTGTGTTGGTGACAAGGAGCACATGTCTGCAGCTGTCCCCAAGGGCTCCTGCAGGCAGTGCTCAGGCTCCGTCCACAGAGGTGCGCGTGCTGCTCCGGCCAGAGTCGGTCCCTGGTTCATTCTTAAAATGTCTTGGAATGAAAAAGTGACGTCTTCTGGTCACTGAACTCTGTCAGCTGCCAAGTCTGGGGGGTACCTGGATGTGCCAGCATGTTCCCTTTGCCTCTTACTGAGAGCTGGCTGTGGAGGGGTCCTGCCTCTGAGTGAGCGAGCCGTCAGCCCAGTCAGGGCTGGTCCGGGCCTCCCTCACGGGCACCTAGCGCGCCAGGCAGGCCGCTGGCTGGGGAGCGCCACAGCTTGGTCTGTCCCGAGGGGTCACGGTGACGCCAGTGGCCTTCTGCAGCACGGGCTCTGGGAGTGGCCAGCACAGGGACACTGATGCACAGCGCGTCCATTTGGCCACCACACCGGTGCTTTCACTCCCCCCGAATTCAGGGACACAAGGCGCCTCTGCCTTCCAGCTCTCCTGGGAGTTCTTTCTCAAGGTCTTCGCTGCCTCTCAGGACTGCGGGCTGCTGTCTCCGTAAAGGATGCTGCCGTGGGGCCTGGCCCTTGAGGGAGGGGCCTCAGCCAGGTATGGGCCTGCACCTCGGCTTTCCGGGAACAAGCAGGACAGACCCTGGGGGTACCCTGCTTTGATCCATTTCTAGCCTTTCAACATTTACAGCTGTCAATTCTGATTTTGCCTTTTGAGCCATAATTGTCTCTGGCTGAAGCACCGACCCCATGCAGAGTCGGCTCGGGTTCCGCCCGACTCGCATAGGTGACACGCTCGGGGTCTGCCCAGCTTGCACAGGTGACGTGCTCGGGGTCAGCCCAGCCTGCAGGTGAGGTGCTCGGGGTCAGCTCAGCCTGCAGGTGAGATGCTCGGGGTCAGCCCAGCCTGCACAGGTGATGTGCTCGGGGTCAGCCCAGCCTGCAGGTGAGGTGCTCGGGGTCAGCCCAGCCTGCACAGGAGACCTGCTTGGGTTCCGCCCGACCCGCACAGGTGATGTGCTCAGGGTCAGCCCCGTCTGCTCCCTGGTCATGCCTGCAGGTGAGAGGCTCCCGCCATCAGACAGGAGAACAGGGCCGTTGGGGCGGAACCACCCAGAATATTCATTTGCATAAGGAGGCGTGGCCACCGAGTGGAGATTGACGCCTGAACCCAAGCCTGAGCTGCAGATTCCATTCTGGGTCCTGGAACAAAAATGTGACCCTGGTCAAGTGCCTATATGTGGTTTTCAGTTTTCTCATCTGAAAAATGTCCCCTGGCTCCCTCGGGAGAGCTCCGTAAACACGGCGGTCAGCCAGGGCTGGGGCCCGAATGCACGTGCAGCCCTGGGCTGCTGAGTGCTGGGCCTCTGGTCTGTGGTCGCTCCCGCTCTGGGCTCCGCGTCGGGGTGGCTCCAACCTGATCTCACGAACTCTGTAGTCCCCTGAATGTGGCCGGGTGACTCACCAAGAGCCCCCCTGGCTGCCCTGGGGACCACAGCCTCTCCTCACGGGTCTCGGTGCTGGGTAAGCTGGTGGTTGGGGGGGGTTTGCTTTAATAATCATTTTCTGTTACAGTAGCTTTAGTTTTACAGAAAAATTGCAGATGGTACAGAGAGCTCCTGTGCGCCCCTCACCCAGTTTCCTTTATCATCATGAATAAAATACCAGGTCTTACGTTAGTGTGATGTCACAGCTCATGAACCAACATCGAGAAATAATAATAAACGTACAGTAATAACGAGCTGAAGTCCGCTTTATCCACTCTTCCTCAGTCTCTCCCTGATGCCCTTTTTCTACCCCGGAGTCTCATCCGAGACGCCACAGGACACTTAGTCACCATGTCTCCTCAGGCTCTACGTGGCTGTGACAGTTTCTCAGACATTTCCTTGTTTTTGACGACCTTGACTGTTTTGAGGAGTGCGGGTCAGATATCTTGTAGGACACCCGTTAACTGCGATTTGGTGTGATGTTTTTGTGACGATTAGACTGGAGCGATGGAGTTTGGGGAAGATCATGGAGGTGTGAAGTGCCATTCCCATTAGATCACATCAGGAGTGGTGCGTCCCATCAACAGGACTCGCCACTGTTGGGGTCGGCACTGACCGCCCGGCTGAGGTCATGTTTGTCGGGCTTCTCCACTGTGAAGGTCCCCTTCTCTCCCCATTCCCACACTGCACTGTGGGAGGAAGTCACTGTGTGCGGCCACACTTAGGAAGTGAAGGGTGATGCTCCATCTCCTTGGAGGCAGACAGTCGACAGAAATTCTTCTGCATGGGCAATTTTGCTCATCTGCCCCATCGATTCAGCTGTTTATTCTGTCAGGATGGACTCAGGAATATTCATTCTGTACACTGAGTTACAATTCACTCTGTGTATTTTATTGTCAGATTGTTCTAGCTTTGGCCATTGGGAGCTCTCCATTGACTCCTGTGTCCCTTTGACACACCCACCCCCGTCGTGTGCGTATGTGTGTGTGAGGGAGAGAGGGAGAGAACGAGAGCACTCCTTTACTTCCTGGCACTATAAGATGCTCCAGGCTTACCTTGTTCATTCCTGCCCCAGTCATAGATCAGCCACTTCTCCAAGGAGCCCAAACCAAAAATGCCAGAGTTGGTTCTGGACTCATAGCGACCTTACAGGACAAGAGCAGAACTGCCTCATAGGGTTTCCAAGGAGCGGCTCGTGGATTCAAACTGCCAACCTTTTGGTTAGCAGCCAAATGCTTAACCATTGCACCACCAGTGCTCTGAAAGTGACCGTCTGTGCAGTAGGCGTGCGTTACAGGCTCAGCCCTTGTGGTGAGCTGTTCTGAAGGAGGTGACTGTCTCCCCCTGAGACCTGCCATGGAGGCGCCCTCAGCCCGAGTGAGCAGAGGGTCGTGAGACCAGAAAGTTGGATTGGCCTAGAAGGGCCTTGGAGGCCGTGGGGAACCTGAGCCTTTCCCAAATAAGAGCTGGAGCCAGGCTAAGGGAAAAGGGCTGAGGCGTTATTTTGGGGGCACATGACATTTCTTACATTCATATTTTAACAAGTACTGTGAATAAAATATCAGCTGTCTAGGTCTGGAGGCTAAATTCAGGCATTGGCCTGAGGAGCTCTGAGCAGACTCTCTGGCTCTTCCCACCTTTCTCTCGGCCCCGTCTCCTGCCGTGTGGCATCTGCTCACGTGCTCGGCCAGACAGCTCTGCCAGGAGGAAGCCTGGTGTGGCCACCTCTACGTGGGGTCGCCTCCTTCCTGCTAAAGGCCTGGAGTCATTTGTCATTTCTTCCTTTGGCCTCTCAGAGGATGCGGGGCCCACGTGGACCCCCACAGGACAAGCAGCTGGGTCACTGAAGTTGGACGGAGTGGAAGGATTCGGTGTGTGTGTCTGGGTCTGCTTACTCCCTCTGCACTGTCAGGGAGCAGTGAGACGTTGAGATGGATCCTAGATACTGCAGACCCCCACCCCGTGACTAATCCAGTGACCTCCCCTGGCACATCAGGTCAGACGACTTGAAAGTTGCTCGGCGCAGAGCTCGTGGCTTTGTGGTGACTTGGTCACTGCAGGCCTCAAGATGGCTGCAGCCTGGGCTCTGAGAGGAGGAGCCGGTGTCCCCAGGGAAGGTGCTCAAATGGGACACTTGGTCTGACTAACTGAGCTTTTCTCTGTCCACAGCAGGGTGACCAGCAAGCCCAGGCCCACTGAGCTCAGCCGGATGAACGCTGCACAGAGGCTTCAGCTCCTGTGAGTATGAGCCTGGCCCGGCTGCCGGGGTCTCGTGCCTCCTCACTTGATGGGCTGTCCCCAGGCCTCACTGAGGGGCATCCCCCCCCCCACCTCCCCACCCATTCATGGCTCCACGCTGGCTGCCTCGCTTAGTTTTCAAATCTGAGTCCACTGTGATACAGGCAGCCTGGAGCATCTGGCCAGCTGCCCGCCAGGAGGCTTCTGGGGGATTGTCACACCTCCACGCAGAGAAAGTACTCCCTCCCCCGTCTCTGCCCTTCCATCTCAGCCCGGTTGGCTGTGACCCAGGGTGTTGTGGACATGAAGTGTGTGAACATTCGGTGCCCAGTTACCAGGGCCGGTGCTCATCAGCGGTCCCAGCCCTGGCTTCTCTCGCTCTCCCGCTGGACTGAGCTTGTCTTCTACAGGTCTGTCTGAAAATAGGCCCGTAGGATCTTAACGTGTTCAGAAACATTTGTTTGTGGAGACTTATGCCCAAATGTCATCTTGGGTACAAAATTCACGGGTCATACTTTCTTAGGCTCTCTCTTAGACTGGGCTCCGGTTCTCCTTGCAGATTGCCGTGGGCAAGTCCGAGTAGGCCCAGGTCTTAGAGCCTTGTGAGAGAGCTCATCTTTTTGGTTGGCTGCCCAAAGGGTTTTTTTTTCTTTGCCGTTAAAGTAACTTTGCTAGGATATTTCTTAGTATTGTATATCTTATATCAATTTTTACTGGAGCCCACTGTATCCTTTTAATTTATAGACTCATCTTTTTTTGTGATTGTTTTTGGACATTTTTACGGAATTAATCTTGAAATAGGCAGCATAGTGGTTAAGAGCTCAGCTGCTAACCAAAAGGCCGGCAGTTTGAATCCGCCAGCCACTCCTTGGGAACTCTGTGGGGCAGTTCTACTCTGTCCTGTAGGGTCGCTGTGAGTTGGAATTGACTTGATGGACAGCAGCGGGTTTGGGTTTTTGGTTTTCTTTAGGGACACCGATTATTGATGTGTTGGGTCTTTTGATCTGTCTTCTGTATCTGTTAGTCTGTATTCTTCTTAGTCCTGAATTTTTAGTATCTTTGTAGATTTTGTGCTTGTCTCTTTCTGCTTATCTCTTAATGAACTGAATTCTCCGTCCACCTGCCGCTTGAAGAATATTTGTGTGTGGAAAGAGCAGAGTTGTTGGAATTCTCTCGGTAGCCCAGAGCTGTGTATGAGTGAGACCTTTGTCCTCTCCTTCCCCTCCCTGCCTCCAGTCCCGAGAGCTGATCTCTGCAAGCCCTCTTCCCCATCCCCCAGCCTCTCCTCCCCTCGTGCCCAGCCTGGGTCCCAGGGCCCCCACGGGGCTCACTGCACTGCCCCTCCTTCTGGACAGGGCAGTGGGTGCGCCCCTCGGCATTCCGCACACCGACAGCTTGGCCTGTGGTCTGTGCCGTGGACCTCCCTCCTCCACAGCCCTGGTGACTGACGCTGCGTTTGGGAGCAGTTAGGGCTTCCTGTGTGCCCTGCTTCGTCAAAGATAGAGCTTGGTTTCTTGTTGCGTTTGAGCAGTTCCTGAGAGGAGAAACAGGAAGCTGTGTGTACTCGTCCGTTTGGAAGCCCGAGGTCCGAGTCCACGCTCATATCCTAGGTGCCTGGCTGTACACGGCAGCGGCTCGGGGGCCTGAGTGACCCAGACCCTCAGCTCAGCTTAGTAGCCACCCACCTTAGAGCCCAGAGGAGGTAGTGTCGCGCTCACCCACTGTGCTCTGGAGACTGGGTATGCTCTGCTACGTCACCAGGACTGCCAGACCTTCTGGCCAAGCCCCAGCCTGTCCCCCTCTGCTCTCCAGTTGTCATGCGGTAGCTCTGAGGTTCCTCATGAAGGCAGAGAACAGGGGCTTGGTATGGCCTGGACTCACACAAGGTCGTAGGGCTCAGCTGGGGCCTGTGGCTCAAGTCAGACCCATCCCTGCCGTGGTGGCACCGCGGCTCCAGGGGGCTTGTCCTGGAGACACCACCCCGAGTAGCTGCGTTGGTCGCTGACTCGGAGACCCTGCGCCTGGTCACCTCTGTTTCAGCAGCACATGGGCCCCTCGCCAGGGTGTGTGGACTGTGAGTGCTGGGTGAGGCAGCAGGTGCCTCAAGGTGGACACTAGGAAGCTGGTGGTGGCGGCAGGGGTCGGGTGCGAGGCTCCTGGCCGAGCTCGAGCTCCTGCAGGATGGAAAGGCCTGTCCGTCAGGGCAGCCCTGCCCCCGCCCACCCCTGCGCCGCAGCCTGTGCATGCAGAGCCCGGGTTCCCTGCCCTTGCTGTGTGGCCGAGTCTCCTGTGCGCATCTGTCCTGGGCAGTCTGTAGAGGGAACCCCTCACGCAAGGCCATGCGTCTGGGGAGGGCGCCTGTCTGGTGGATACTGCAGTGCGAGCCCAGACCCCCCCATAAACCCCCAGGGAGGCAGGGGTGCCAGGGGCTCAGCCCCGCCCAGCCCCACGAGGCTGGCGTTCACGTCCCCTGCAGGGTCTCCACCACAGAGACCACCGGGTCTCACAGCCACACATGCCTTCCGTCTCCCGTTTCTCTCTGTCCCCGTCCCCATCCCAGGCCATTGTCCTAAGCCCCCTGCCCTGCCCAGTGCAGCCACCGGACCAGGGTGCTCTGCCCTGCGGTGGTCCCAGCACTCCCCCTTCTGAGCCGTGCCCGCTCGCTCGTCCTCATCCTCCACTCTGGGCCCGTCCGCAGGGTGTTGGGGGAGGTGAGGGGAACTGGGGTCCCCAGCGGCCACGCGGTGTTGACCTTTGGGTCTCGGTCTTTCAGTGAGGAAGAAAGGGCCCGGTTCCAGGCGCTCCTAGCCAACCCGACCTACCAGGCCAGCCCCCTGCAGGCCATTGGGCAGCAGCTGGCCCACCAGATGCGACTGGAAGGCTGCGGCCGGCTCTGACAGCACGGAGCGCCTCGGACACGGTGCTCCAAGGAGCCCATTCCAGCGGTTGGCGTCCTGCAGCTGGGGACCCCCCGGCCTGCTCTGGTTCTCTTGCCGGGACATTAGGGAGGACCATGGTGGATGTGTGGGCTGGGGAATAAAGTGCTTCTGGCCGGCGTGTGGATGGCTCCTTACTGTGCCCCCCAGGGAAAGCCCTACAGCTTCCTGGTCATCACAGGGGTCCCCCATCACGCTTGCTCCCTTGTCCCCCACCCTACACTCTCACCCCTCACCGTCTGGACCGTGGGGATGGCACCCTCCACCCAGGCCTCTGACTCCTGCCGACACCAGGGCCTCGTCTTGGGATCTGCCGCAGAAGAGCGATGGCAGCTGCGTGTGGGCGGCAGACCAGGAAGAACGTGTGGAGTGACTTGAAGTCTGGGGGCCCACACTGGGGGGCCGATAGTCTGAGGCAGACCTCAGACTGTCCAGGATGTCGCCTGACAAGCCACCTGCCTGTGGGGGACACCCCAGCACCCTTCAAAGAGCAGAGCACCAGGAAGAGCTGACGTCCAGCTGTTGGCCGCTGTGCAGACGGTGGCGACCCGGGGGCCGCGGTGCCGCTGTGGGAGCGGGTCCCAGCATGTGCTCATTCTTCGTGTCACTCAGTGCCCACCCCCGCCAGGCCGGGGACCGCCTACTCCCATTCTGCCCAAAATGAGCAAGCTCCGAGTGTCCTCTACCGGGGGCTCAGGACCGGGGCGGTCACAGGGTGCTCTGTTCTGCGCACGCGTTCCCAGTCTCGGCAGCGCAGACGTGGGTGGTGGTTGTCGTCGAGTGGACTCTGATTCCTGGTAATAAAGAAGCGACGTAGTTGGTCACTGGTTTCCATGCTTTTTAAGCCCTGGAGCCCTCGTCCCTTTCTCTGATCTGAAGGTGAACAGCAGGTACGAGGCTCTCAGGGCCCCGGAGGCTGGCACGGGCCCCCCCCCATCCCGGGTCCCCTGCCATCCTGGGCCCCCAGCCATCCCGGGCCCCCTGCCATCCTGGGCCCCCAGCCATCCCGGGCCCCCAGCCATCTTGGACCCCCTGCCATCCCGGGTCCCCAATCATTTCGGGTCCTGAGCCATCCCGGGCCCACAGGGTGCCCTTGGAGGAGCTCTGGTCTGGGACAGGAGGCGGAGCTGGAAGCCCTGGAGCAGGGCGGAATTCTGGCTCCTGATGGCCCATCAGTCATGTTTCCAGCCCATGTTGCCCGGGCATCCACCTTGCGCACAGCTCTCAGGCCCTCCTTCCCAGACGCCCTTGTCACCAAGCAGCACCTGGCCTGGGGAGACCGGCCTGTAGGCCACGAGAGCAGAGGGAAGCAGCAGAGGCCCGAACAGGAACATCCAGGAGGAAGGCACAGGGTTCCCTGAACCCCCTCCCCGGCTGGGAGCACTGCTGGTGATCACCGCACCCAGCCCCCAGACTCCTTCCCTGCACTCAGTACAGGGGGAGCACAGGCCAATCTGAAAGCTCTTGGTGGGCGGCCCAGGGAGCGTCACCTCCCCGAGCACCAGCCAAACTTCTGAAGTCCGTCCACTCAACTTGACTCGTGCTCCACAGTCCCCAGTGCTGCAGCCCCCCACCGCAGCAGCCCCCACCGCAGCAGCGTTGGGACCTCCCTTCCCCCAACCCCTCCCCTCCTGTCTCCCCAGTTGCAAGTCCTCCTCCTCCACCCTCGGGCTCTCATCCTGGGGGCCACTTGTACCCATTATCACCTGCCCTGAACAACGCTTTGAACACATCAGGATGCCCCCAGGGCTGCGCATCCCACGCTGTGCCTCCCCCGCCCCAGGCTGCCTTGTCCAGGCTGATGGCCGTGGCTGGCAAGAGGAGCTGTCTTCATCAGGTGGCCTGTGTGCTCACTCTTGCTGGGGGGCCTCGCCAGCCGTCACTGTGCTCACACCCCTCGGCCGAAGCAGGTCGCGTGGCCCAGGCCAGCGCTGGGTTGGGGAGGGTTGTGGTGCTGGGGCAGGTGTGTCCACGGGGAGGCCCTGGGTGGGGCATGACCGTAGTCCCCTCACACGGGGAGCCCTAGGTTGGGGGGTGCCCCAGGTGAGGGGTGGCGCCGACTGAAAATGCTCATGGTCTGTTCCTGTACCTCCTGCATTACATCGGGAAACTACTAATTACTGATGAGACCCCCAGCCAGGACGAGGGCGAGGCTGACCATACGCATGGCCTCACTGCAGTGTGATGGTCTTGGAGGGCTGTGGGGGGGTTGCCACCCCCTGGCTGACGTTGGGACCACCTGGGGGGCTCTAGTCCCGGTACCTGGGCCTGCCAGCAAGTCAGGGAGGTGTGATCTGGGCTTTGGGATTCTGAGAAGGCCCCTTGACACATGGTACCCTCATGGGGGCAGGGTACGTGGGACACAGGAGAGACTGGCCCACACCCCAGAGCCGGGCCTGGGGGCTGAGGAGCTGGGTGGGCAGTGGAGGAACTGGGAGAGGACAGGGGTGAGGTGGGCTGGTCCCCTGCTCGCTGCTCCTGCTCCTGATGGCTGTCCCCAGGCCCCCTCGAGGCGCACTCCCCCCCTGGGGTCTGCTCATTTCTCTCTGAGGTTGTTGTGGGCTGCCCAGCTTAACGGTTAGGCCCCTTGGGCTGTCCTGCCATTTCCTGCTGGCTCTTGCCCTGTGGCCTGGGGCTGTCCCCACGTGCACACATTGGCGATTTGCCTCCTTTCCCCTGCAGAAAGGACACTCCCACTCCGCCTTCTGTGTCGGCCTCGTGGAGATGGGACTCAGACGCACTCTATCACGTGGACAAGTGAGAAAGTGGATGAGGTCCGAGCCAGGCACAGGACACTGGCCATGCCCTGTCCTCTACTCAGCCTTTCGGGGCTGTGTCCATGCCAGCCTCATGCTCACACTCAGTGTCCGAGGGAAGATGGGGGCCACCCTCAGAGCCCCCCACCCCAGCAAGTCTCCCTCAGTTCTGTTGCCCTGACTGGTTTCCGTTCCCCCTCCTCCTTCAGACCATCAAGCCAGGCCCGGGTCGAGGCAGGTGGGGGCCCTGAGCACATTCAGGGGGGACTGAGAGGGGGCCAGGGGTGGAGCAGCCCTCGGGGCCCACTGCCCAAGCCCTGGGTGCACGCCGTGACCGCGGCAGCTCTGAGACGGGCCGAGGGCTGGCCCTGCTGGTTACGGGTTGGACATTGCTGGCCGCCTGTCTGGGGCGGGCGGGAGGGCAGAGCTGTGGACACGCACCCCTGGGCACGTGGTGCCAGCTGGGCCTGGGGCTCGTCGAGTGAAGCTTCCAGACCGTCGGAGGGACCTGTGGGCGGCCCAAAGTGCCAATGGGCAGACGTGAGCATAGTCAGCGAGGATTCTTGGACCGCTGGGACGCCAAATGTACAGACACCAGGCAAGTTGCTTCTGGAATGTTCCTTGTGCGGTGATAGCACGGTGACGACAGCCTTAGTAATCTCACAGAAACGTTCAGATGCTCTGGCTGCCAGGCCTTGTCTGCCTGGGGCCCTGGCACAGCTCAGCGTCCCAGGCTCCGTCTGAGCAGCTGCCACCATTGTGTGGGATCTGGGATGCAAGGAGGAGTTCCCGTGGCGGGGAAGCAGGATGCGGCCCCTCCACCTTCCTCTGATGCTGGGTCTGCTGTGTCAACCGCCATGCCTCCTTGGGAGACCAGCCTGTGAGCAGAACATGTTTTATTTAAAGTCGGAGACGTGATTTGACTGTGTTCTTCCAGTGACAGCACAGTCATGTGGGATGAAACGACAGTCGCAAGCATTCCTGATGTGTGTGCTGTTTCTTCCATTCTGTCTGCTCCAGGTGGGAAGCCAGGTGGGTGCCCCACTCCTTCCTCTCCCATAGGGAAACCGAGGCCGGGGGGAGCAGAACCTCCCTCCGGGTGTCGCCAGGCTGGGCTGACGTTTCCGGAACACCAAGCTTCAGCCTGGTCTCTGCTGATCTTCTAGCACGGCAGGGGTTGCCCTTTGCCCCTCGACCTCCCTGACGCATTTGGCCTCAGGCAAGTCATCTTGACGCCACCCTGCCAGACACCCTGGGGGATGGTGGGGTGGGCGCAGGGGGATAGGGCCAGCCAGGCTGATGTGCCCGCTGCCCCCCCCCAACTCCAGTGCCGGCTGGGTTGCAGACTGGATGCTTATCTTCCAGTCCAGCCGCATGTCCTGAAGTACAGGGAGGGGATTAATCCTGCCCACCCCTCTCCTAGAGCTGAAGCCCACCACGGGAGGTCCCAGTGGAGGTGACTACACTCATCAGGTTACGGGGAGCCCTTGGTGGGGCCGAGCAGGCAGGTGACTGGGTTACCTTGCGTCCCCGGGTTCCAGCCAAAAGGAGGCTGCCCACTAACGGCTCCACATTGGGGTGTAGCTGGGCTGTGACCTTTGGGCCCCAAGGGAGCTTCCTGGAGGGCTGGCCCAGCTCCCCTGCCCCCCAAGTCTGGCGCTCGTGCTGCCGGAGAGCTCGGTCCCGTGCTTGGGGCCAGTTTTCTGGCACAGCAGTAATTATTTCACCCCCACCCGAGATGGGAAATGATAATTACATAACAGTGTTTAATTAGAGTGTCTCCTGTGTCGAGCACATCCCAGCCTTCCCTCTGCTTCTCAGGATCGGACCCCTGCCCTGCCCTCAAGACACGGTGGTCCTCTCCCGCCTGCTCTCCTCTGGTTCTGTCGGCCCCTGGCTCTGCGCTGGCAGGGGGCTCCTTTCCCGTGACAGCCATGAGCCCATGGAGCGGTGTTGGGGTCCTACAACAGTGGGGGGCACAAGGCCCCCAGTGCTGCTCACTAGACTGCTGCCGCGGTGGCCTCCGCAGAGCCAGTGCCCGCCCTCGGCAGCCCGGCCTCGGGACGCTTCAGGAAGTGTAGGCCTACTCCACTGAGGTGCATGTGAGGCCTTGGGACTGGGTGTTCCAGAACCTTCCTGACGTGGAGTTATTTCACCCGACAGTGCAGTTTCCCGACGGGTGATGGTGGAGGCAACTGCAGAAGTGCCAGAAGGTTGCAAGGGTTGGGGATTTGGAGAAGGCAGGGCCCAGGCTCAGTGCCTGTCTCGCGTTACAGAGGAGACAGCCAGGAGCTGGGAGGGGCGGCACTTGCCCAAAGTGCGCGTTTGGGGACACAGAGGCACCCACCCGGAGGCCCGCTCCCAGACCTGCAGGGGCCCAAGCACTCGACTGAGCCCTCGTCCACGGGGCCGGCCCCGGCCATGGAGGCTGTGTCTGGGGCCCGGCTAGGCCTTCTGTCTCTGTTTTCTCCTTATCGGCTCCAGGTTCCCATTGTCGTGCTTCCAGTGCATGCATTAGTACAGCGCTGTGCGTGCGTGACAGGTACGTGGTGTCTTAGTCATCGAGTGCTGCTGTAACAGAAATACCACAGTGGATGGCTTTTACAAAGAGAAGTTTATTCTCTCACAGTCCAGTAGGCTACAAGTCCCAATTCAGGGCGCTGGCTCCAGAGGAAGGCTTGCTTTCTCCGTCAGCTCAGGAGGAGGGTCCTTGTCATCAGTCTTCCCTCGGTCTGGGAGCTTCTCAGCGCAGGAACCTCAGGCCCAAAGGACGTGCTCTGCTCCTGGCACTGCTTCTTGGTGGTATGAGGTCCCTGTGTCTCTCTGCTTGCTTCTGTCTTTTATATCTCAAAAGAGATTGGCTTAAGACACTATCTAATCTTGTAGACCTTATCAGTATAAATGCCACTAATCCATCTTGTTACATCATAGTGATAGAATATGTAACACGTAGGGAAATCACATCAGATGACAAAATGTAGACAATCATACAACACTGGGAATTGTGACCCAGCCAAGTTGACAGATATTTTGGGGGGACACAATTCAATCCA